TTAATAATAATAATTATATTATAAAATAATAATATTGTGTGTATTATTATCTTTACAGTCTTCAATATTAAATATCTTATTAATTTCTATATTTTTAATAATGTTTCATAAAATATACAAATTCATTTCAGAATTTAATTGTGAAATATGGACTTGTTAAAATAATTTAAAAATAAATTTTCTAATAGATTTAGAACTGAAATATGCTCTTTAAAGCGATAATAAAATATTCGCATATTAATTATAATAATATTTATATTAGATTTGAATATTATGGATATTCAATATAATTCGTATAATACCAAAAAATATTATTTTTATAATTTAAAATAAATATTTAAATATGAAAATTTAATTAATTAATAATTATTTTTCAATCATTAAATCACATTAAGGATGTTGAAAGAAGAAGTTCTGAAATTAAATACATATAAATTTCGTAATATATGTATAGCAGTAATAATTCTTGAAAAAATAAAAATGATGTTTCATAACATCTTATCTTTTCTCTTACATTCTATCTATTTCATGTTTGAAAAATCCTGATTCGTTTAGGATACGGTCACGAGTTCAAAATAACCGTTAATTTTCTAATGTATTAATGATTATAATACAAATAATTTTGTTTGCTATTGAAATTTTATTATAGTACATAAATAAATATTTAATAAAACTTTTTACTTTTTCTTAATATGTAAAATTTTTCATATGAAAAATTTTTTATTATATAATACTGTTTAACAAATTATTTATATATTGTAATTTATAATTTATAATATATAATTTATATATATAATTTTATAATTATAATTCAATTAAGAATATAATAAGAATTCGCTGGTTTCTGCTCATATATAAAATATTTAATGGAATATTAATTAAAAAAGAAACAATTTCGAAGTAATTAAATTTCTTAAATTATTTTAAATTAAATATTTGAACAATGAATAGCTTCAATTAAATAATTAAATAATAATTAAATATAACATAAATTTCGGATATGTTACGCTATTGACTATTATAAATGATGATATAGAATTATCAATATATAATTGGATCAAACTACTTGAATAATTGGTTTTTTACTTTATAGTTACGGATTGTTATGAAATCAAATTTGCGTATCAGTTTCCATGAATCCGCCTTCCACGAAAAAGTCGTCATACCGTGAGAAAAGTAAAGTGAGAGAAGAACAACTATGCAATGATATACATCTTTCTTTCACATTTTAAACTTATGAGTTATGAATTATATAAGCATGACATAAAACAAGTAATATTCATCTGTATGTATTTATTTTAATATATTTATTAAAATAATTTCATGAAAAGCTATATTGTAAATTATAATAATAATAAAATATTTTTGGAATATTTAAATAATAAATATTTGATAGTTTGATGAAAATAATATATAAAATCTTATTATACTTGTTTTTTTTAATATACAAAATATTAATAAATAAATTTTAACAAATAAAATATATATAAATGTGTATATTAAAAATATATGTATCTTTATGAAA